ATCGCTCTGACTTGCGGCATGACTTGCTATACGTATACTCGATGTTTTCGTTTGCGTTATTTAGCCGCCTAACTCTTCTAATTTGCATACGATCGTTCACGAAAGCACGAAGGGAAAGAGAGAAAGAGAGAGAGAGAGAGAGAGAGAGAGAGAGAGAGAGAGAGAGAGAGAAATAGAGACTGCATGTATGTCTTATTGTATCCTTTTCGACGAATGTTTCAGTTTGGAAGCGATTGATGGACGCGGAGGACGGGCCACCGTTTCTTTGCCCGAAATGCGGCCGCACTTATTCGCACAAGTGCAATCTCACAAGGCATTTACGCCTCGAGTGCGGTGTCGGGCCAAGATTTCAATGCGGGAATTGCAAGAAGCGATTCAAGCACCGTCATCACCTGCGGGACCACCAGAGGATCCACCTCTACGCGAATTGCGGCTACGAATCGCGTAACTGAGACGCCACCCTTCCAACTAAAATCGCTTGCGTCTCCAGCCCCTTATCCGATTTATTTATTTATTTATTTATTCGCTCGTACTTGCGTTTATCGAATTATTTATTTGCCAGTCAATGCAAAACGACGCAATCTGTGATCCTTTGAGTACCAAAAAGTACTGAAAGCAATTATTTATCATACTTCCGCGCTTTAAGCTTGTCTAACGGAATGGTGTAACTTTAGAAACGTTGCTTATCTTTAAACATAATGTAATTTTCATAGGCTTATGTGTTCGTTATACACATAAAAGGATTTGAATATGAGCGAGCTAATCCAGGATTTTACAGTAATAGCAGAATTGCGAAAGAATTTCTTAGTGTTATCTGTGAATATTATTCTCAAAGCGTATGCGACATTATTAAGCTATCCGTCAACTAATCTCTCAAATTCAAAGTACCTAAACTCGATTGCGAGAGTTACCAAAAACGTTGATCTACTAGAGATATGATTGCACAATCAACTTGAGAAATAGCTAGCAAACACCAATAGTGCAAAGGAAAAGATACTATTTAAAAATACTTCACGGCACGTATACTTAAGTATCGCTAACAGGATTAATTATTTAGTCTATCGTACCAGAACCACGACTTTCGAAGACGCTAAGGGTATTGCGGAACATTTAACACAGATGTAAATGAAGAATAACTTTGGGATTACTATATTTTCGATGTTCGTTACGCGTGTGATTGTCAAACTCGTGCCAAAGACAGTAGTAATTTATAGCGGGATTTATATGGCGCGCAGTGTCCAAGTGATTCGATGCAATGCTCATCGTATAATAGCCACACTTAGATACAAGTGTCCGACGTAACAACGAGTTGCGATGGTGCATCCGTGAATTTAGATATTTACCATACCAAATGTACATAAAAACAGATGGCCATAATTAAATCCGTCTCAACTTCTCTTGGGGGAAAAACTCCGTATAATAATTAAATGTAGAGAGGTTGGCTCTTATGAAACTTTTCTAGAGAAGCGAAATTTATGGAGACCAGACTATAAGACGATCCGTTTCAAAGCTGCTTCCATCCTTTGCACACATGCCAAAAGATATTTTACTAACTTCACATTTAATTTAGCACTTTTTCCGTTAAACAGTTTAATGTAATATAAGATCTCATTAATTTTTTATGCGAAAAGCAGCTTACATCTATTTACTTTTATTTTGTTAACGAAGAATGTATAAAAGGAATAAAAATCGTATAGTTTCGCTTTTCCATGAATTTTGCATTCTAATGAGCCAGATTGATTGATGCAGAAAGTACATCATATTAAAAAACGATTGCAAATACCTCTTGATCGTGCCAAATATACGCTCTAGTTCTTACGTTTGAGATTTCGAGTATTATAGTTTTTCAATCAAATACGCGATATACTTATATGTGTAACACGTTTATAATAATCCTAGAGACCTATCTAGCTTTTAATTAGCTATCTCGAATGGTTAAACAATTATATGCTTTGTGTGATTGTATTAATCGCCAACGTACCTCGATGTACAGTTTATCAGAAATCAGGAACAGATCAGTTAAGAAAACTTGGATTGAATTCATAGGAAGATTTCTAAACGGACGTTTAAATCTTTCCTTTTTTTTTATCGAGAACGGTATTTGCATTTCTACATACGTGGTATTATTATACCAGATTCGACAGTTCTGTGAAATAATATTAAGTCAAACAAAAAGCATTTATCGTTAAATTTTTATGGTACTTCTCATAAATTATGTTACGGACTGACAAGGGGACACTACGCATCTCTTCATTTCGATAAAACTTGCAGCTATGATAGAACAAACTATCTAATTAAACACGTAAAGCCATTTATCTGAATGAACCTTCGAAGTTGAGTTATAAGCAGTTAAAGGTGTACCCTTCTGTCATTGCTGCTTTATTAAAATCGGCGAAGAGCAGCGTGTATTATTCCCTTGTGAAACTACCTATCGCAATACATACCAATGCGCGATTATAATTCTTCCTATTTGCAAAATGTAAAATGTATAATATAATAATCGTTATCCCTTAACTATAAACTTGATTTTTTACTATTTGCTTGATTTATGCAATTTTCTAGTGTAATGCATAGTTTCAGCATTGTATCTCTTAATCTTTTATCCGCTTGTGTATTAAATGCGTAACTCAAGACAATCCATTTCTTTGTGAATAAATATAGAATAAGATTGATAAAATGCATTAAAGTTTACAATACACGCATTATTCGCTTTCGCAATTAAAGTTCAATTACTTTTAAATTCATCTTTTCGAGAAATAGTTAAGGGTTACGATCCTGAACACGATTTTCTGTAAGAAAATCAATTGTTATCGCAAATGTAATCTATATTGCATCTCTAACATATTTGTTGGGAAGAAATTACAAATCGAATTTCACAAAAAACATGTACGAAATAAATTTACTTTTTATGAACAATTAACTAATATAGCCTTGTCAATTTGCTGCCCTCGAATCATTCCACGACGATTCCAATTGGATCTCTTCGGGCTCATTCAGGTTGGTATCTATACGTATTTTTGATACATTTATATAATAAGTAAATACTGAAGCGAACGATGGTGCAAAGAATAATGAAACTCGAGTCGTCGTTTCTTGATCAAGGGAGGAAAATTGCGCATAGCTTGATGATATATCTTCTGATATTATTTGCTTATTTTCATGCTTTACTTTCAATATGCAATTAAAGTTCTGGATGTAACGAATGATCATCGTGGCGATAACAATATTTTAGTGATTTTGTGCTTTCAATCGACAATACAGTTACAAATAAATATCGGCAAAGAACGATTATTGCTCACTTTCATCAGAGGTATACCCAAGATATCACTCAATTCGTCTGCACAATCTATATATGAAAAATCCGTCGCGCTAGTAATACTACACGGAGAGATCGATATGGTTATCACATGTCTAATTAGGGTTGGCACAACCCCAATAAATAACCCAAGGAAAAATGAAAAGTCAAGATGACGTCAATTTGAAGTCTTATTGACCAAAATATGACATAAATCTGGTCAATATGACATCAAATTGACATCATCTTGACTTTTTATTTTCCTCAGGACTTATTTGGGACAGCTATATCTGTGGTTGTCATATCCACATTGGTATAATAAGTAGTGGAGACAACTATACATATGCGTTTTGTGCAGCAAACTTAGCGAATGTTGCAACACAAAACATGTAGATGCCCCTACTGTTTATACGGCAATATTTTAATTTTAGTTATTTTTGCTTTAGCCTGTCTGTCCGTGTACGATCGCACGAAGCTCGAAACTGTCGCGCTCTCGCGTTCGCGAAAGCATATCGGGCGTAAATCGATCTTTTTCAGCCTAAATATCTATAAAGATTTATGTCATAAGTATTTTGAGAATGGTGTTCTAAGCCTGAGATATTTTGTTTCTTGGTTTTCGATTCGTCACAAAAACCATTTCGGCACGCTGTGAGACAAAATCGAGTGGTACAGAACCGTGAACATAGTGTGTTACCCGTTGAATATATTCGTGGCCACGTAGTTCACGAAACAAGTTTCATGCACATGGAGGCGCCAGTGGACGGATTCCACTTGAAACCGCGCGGGCATATGAAGTATTTTATATATTATACGTATATCTATATTATTATCTATAAAGAAATCACAGAGAATAGATTAAACTGTGGTCAACAGTTTGATCAACTGTTGACCACAGTTTAATCGATTCTCTGTCTCTTCTTTATAGATAATTTCAACAGTTTGTTAGAAACAGAAAAATCGGGCCTAAATAGTGCAATGGGTACCTTTGGTTGTCCCGTCTTTAGGGTATGTACTCTCTAAAAATTAATCAGTACATCATTACTGTAAATCAGTGAATATTCATTGTTTTCAGTGATAATCCACTTATTGACTTTTAGAGAGTAACCCTTCAGGGTACTTAAGCCCCTCCACCACAACAAGGTAGTACCCGAGGAGGCGATATATTATCAACAAGAAACTATGCAATTACATACGTGTATATTTAGAAAAATGAATACTGAATGAACGTAAATTAGGTTGGCTATTTAATGCACAACGTGAGAGAGATTCATCCGAGTTCGATCGTTAAAAAAGGTATTAGCGCTCGTGGAGATATCGAACCTAACTAACAATGTATACATATACATATGTAATTCCCTTATGGCACTTCTACTTCAAATTACGCGTGATATTCTTCACGATAAATCACCGCAAAATGAGCGATAAGATCGGGATCGAGTCTTCCTTGCGGCTTACCGTGCTCGCATGTGTTATCGGCGACGTACGGAGAAATTTAAATTTCAAAATCGACGACAGCGGAGTAGGTGGATAACTTACCGACGACGCAAGTGGCGTAAGCGCAATGAGTCTATTCCACTTGCCACTCTCAGAACAGGCAATATGGGGTCTGTTCTTTATTGCTGCACTCCTGAACTAGTGCACACTGGTGCAATGAGTTGGAATGAGAGGTAATATATTTGTTTCATTTTAACTTATTGCACTAGTTCAGTAGTGCAGTAATAAAGAACAGGCCTATGGTGTCTCGCGTTGCACCGGTGATGTCGCACCCGGGATCTTATCAGGACCTCGTAATATCAATCGGGCTCGTATGCACCGCTGGGAAAACTGCCTTCGTTTCCCCAGTTTTTAATGTCGTCATGGTCCCGTGGAGGGTTTAATTTCACGTGGCGCGGTACATTGGAAGTTCACCTACGTTTAGGTTAGCCGGGTCTCTTCTTCGGCTCGACGGGACACCGGTGGAGAAATTCTGACGAGATGTACCTTAACGTTTGCCGGCTGTTGACGCGCACCTGCGCGAGGCAAATACACACCAGCGTGTCGCGAAATCTAATGAAGGACCACTCGGACAGCGCGTTTCGAAAGAAATTGCGCTCCTCTGCCTTTTACTGGGCCGGAGTCGGGGTTCTGGTAGTTGGACTAAGTTATTCCGCAGTGCCACTGTACAGAATGTTCTGCCAGGTGCAATTCTTTGAGATCTATATCGTGTCTCTACTCGAGTTAGTCTCGTCTCACTTCAATGAATTTCATACAATTTTTTCTACAGCAACGTCGGCGCCAATACATGTTTATCTGTTCCTCAATTGGGTCTTCCTTTTGTTCTATAGTCGTATAGTTACGGCGGAACGGTATCGGCTGGTCACGACGCCAGTAAAGTGATCACAATGTCGCCCATTAAATTCAGGAAGATTCGAATTAAGTTCAATGCAGATGTGGCGGCATCGATGCAATGGAATTTCAAGCCGCAGCAAAGGGAGATCATGGTTGTTCCCGGGGAGACGGCCTTGGCGTTTTATACAGCCACGAATCCGACCGATCACCAGGTCATAGGGATATCCACATATAACGTTTTACCTTTCGAAGTTGGGCAATACTTCAATAAAATACAGTGCTTCTGTTTCGAGGAACAGATGCTCAACCCACGTGAGCAAGTAAGTTCATTGGTATCGCATTTTGTAGAACAAAATAATAAGACAGTCTAGTTTTGGCGTATATTTAAGGACAGCTGTTCTATTTTCTTTCTGCATCAGTTTCTATTCTAACAATAGAAATACGTTTAATCTATAGTTATTCAATTAGGCAGTGTAGCATAAATTATTATTCTTGTGTGTTAAGGTTGACATGCCAGTGTTCTTCTACATTGATCCCGAATTCGCGGACGATCCAAAAATGGAGTTTGTTGACGAAATAGTCCTCTCTTATACATTTTTCGAGGCCAAGCCAGGATTTAATCTGCCTGTACCGAGTTACGCCAGAAGTCACTCGGCGAAGTAACGCGTAATTATTCCTAGTAGTTATTACAATTGTACAAACGAATAAATCTTTAATGTATATATATATATATGTTTTCAAACTCCTTTTTCGAATTGTGGAGATATCACGTAGCCTAAATTCCTTTAGGAGTGTATTCCAAACGGCGCGACTGGACATTCCCATGAACGGCAGTGCACGGAGCATTAACAGAGAACATACTTTTAAAATCTGAACAACGCGTTAACAGGATACGCGCGTCTGAGCCCGCAAACCTTCTCCTTGTCAATGTATATCGCGTCGATTTTAAGGGCGAGATCGTGTTCGAGCATGGTGCGAGTCCGCAGCAATTTTTGATGCTGGTTCTCAAGTTCCTTCAGCGCCTTGTGCATTCGCTCGAGTTGATGATTTATCTCGTCGATCTCTTTCTGAAGGCTGCAATATAAAAACAGTATTTTCAGATAACGTCGCACCTGCGGTGGCTGCTGGGCGCGTTAAAGCTACGCACCTCGCGTAAGCATAATCGCGACACAATTCCATATCCGGACGGTGCATTCTCGCCTCCATCCTCGTATGTACGACTTTCGTCGCGTAACTCTTGTCCGCGATAGCCTTACGCATTAACTCCAAATTTTTCTCAACGTCGAATATTTCTTGTTGCACCTGCAATTTCACGAGACGCGTTTAATCCGATCCGAAATTTACGCGCGCGCGACGCTTTACATACCTTTTGCAAATGCTGTTGGAGCTTGCTCTTAGCCTCGAGTAATTCGGAAGATCTGTGTGTTAAAGCGTTGTTGGTGTTACTCCAAGAATTCCACATTTCCTGAGCGACCTTATTGATGAGACTTTCGGCAGTGGTGCGTAATTGACTCGACCTGTTCCGCTCCGTTTGAGATCTTTGCACTATCCTATTCACGGCGTCCGCCCAGGTTTCTTGCTCCGAGACACTGAGAACAAGATACAACAGTTCAATATAAAATTTTTGTTAAAAGTTATACATATACTGTGATTAACTACCATGCGTCGTATTTCTCAATCCCAGAATAATATTGTAATCCGTGAGTGTGATTGTTCAATTGGTGGCAAATAGTGTCTATGCCCAGGGCACTTTCCTTATTCTTTAAATCCAGGTCTAAGTGATTCTGCGAAGCTCTACAATTGCGTAACTGTAAAATATTAATTCATTAACTGTGACAAGTAACCAGGAACTTTGCTCTACTTATCATACAAATCAGGGTACATTGTACCTGATCCTTGCACTTGTCCAAACAGGCTTCCAACTTCTTTTGGTTTGTCCGCAAGTTTTCTACTTCTCGCAGCAAACACTTTTCCGACTCGTCGTGTACCAATTCTGTGCCTAAAAAAAAAAGGATAAGATTATTATAATGCAATATCCAAAATGTCAAGAACAAGTGGAAAATAGTTTTGCCGACATCCTACAGACCTTTTCTAGCCTCTCTGTGATACAGACACTCCTCTGCGATATGTAAAGGTCCCTCGATGTCCCGTGCTGCCTTTTCCAGGACACTTCGACAGTCGTGGAGTCTCTCGATCTCGTGCAGCATCCTCTCCAGTTCCGCTGCCACTTCGTTACGCCAAAAAGCGATGTCGTTCATCCTCTCGCCGAGTCTCCGGCTGGTATCGTACTGGCCATGCTGTATCTTCTCCTCGGCAACCCTGAAAGATATTTCGGCCGTAGCATCTGACAACAATTAGAAAATTATTCCCAAGAAGCCGTCGACACCTCATAATCCTCTGGGCGTCGTTTCGCATCCTCTCGGAATAATGCCTCTGCGAATCTGCCTCGTTGTAATATTTCACTTGTTTCTGAAACCACTCGTGCGGCGTGTATCGCGTATAAAGGGCGGCTTGCGACGCGTGAACGGGATTGCGTTGATACCCCGTGATCAGATTTGGGAATTTCAACGACCGCGTACTCATTTTGTTTCTCGCGTCCAGCACGTAACTCGATATCGACTTTGTGGCTCTGCAAAAGAACAACAGAATAATTATATCCATGTCCAAATCTGACTGCTCAGGTGCTTGCTCAGGAGGATAAGAATCTACCGAGAACCGGCGGAAGTATGTTATACGGGACAGCATCAGTTTGTTAAATCAATATCATTCCGTAAAGGGGTTCAAGGAACGACTTCTCTACAGCTGTTGCCGCAGGAGCGATAAGCGGGCGGATTACAGCTGATCTTAAGAGAGAAATGTGACTGAATCTACTTACAGCGGGGTAACTTCTGTATTCTCGAATCCGACATTCGGTCTCCATGGTAGTAAATGGTGTGTACGAGTATAGTCACCTATACGAATCGGAACTATCGGTTCCACG